AGCAGAAGGCCTCTGTCTGTGTGCTGGGGCTGACAAATGGGGGATGGAGCCAACCCTGACTCCAGCTCTTTGGGAAGTCCTGGCGCTGGCCCATCACCTCCCCGGTGTCCGATTCCAAAGGCATTTTTCAGCCCAGCTGGGAAGGCCGTGACAGTGCAACACGGCTCCCTCCTTCAACCATGAAGGATAAATCTCCCAGCCTTGGCCATCCATCTGTCTTCTGGAAGATGAGGCCATAGGCTTGCTCTGACTTGGCTGGATTTGTCAATCAACCAACTAAACAGCATTTAGAGAGCAGCACTATGCATCAAGGCATTGCTCAAAAGTCAAGCACCCAGTACGATTTTCAGAAGTGCCTACTGTGTGTGTCAGGCTCTGTGCTAGGGGCTGGTGCTGCCTCCATCAAGGAGACGAAGAAAGCCCTGCCTTCAGGGGGCTTAGACTGCACTGTTGGGAGGGAGATCAGAAACAGAATAAATGAGTGAGGTGGTGAATTAGAAGGTATCAAGGAGCGCAGGAGGGGTTTGATCAGAGTCTGGGGCCAGGAGCCCAGGAGGCTGAGGTGGGTTTGAAGTGAGTGCACAGGGAAGGATTCCCTAGAAGGTGATATTTGAACCAAGGCTTGAAAGACCCCAAGTGGTCTGCTCCCTGGAACCACCCCATTGTCTGAAACTTGGGGAGATGCCTAAGACAGGCAGGACTTGAGCTGAGGCAGCCATGAAGTAAGTGTATGACCGGGCACAGGAGAGGAGAGGGGACTTCCGGGGGAATGGCAGGGCTGGGTATGAGTGGCACAATCACAGAAGAGGGGCACCTGGGGTGGGTGGGAGTTGAGCCCCTGGGACTCTCCCTCCTCCTCAGGGTCCTGCTGAGAAACACTGAGCTCTCTTCACTGTTCCCCTGACACCAGACACCAGACCCTGTGAGAAGCTCTCAACCCAGCCTGCTGGTCACTGTCACTGCAGTTTAATCATGGAGATTCCTCCATCCTGTTCTGGATCTTCAACTCAGATCCTGTGTGTTGAAAGCTGTCCAGATGGTTCCAAAGCCCTCTCAGATTTGGGGTTCCTCGTCTGGCCCTCTGCTGTCACACTTATGCCTGAATTCCTCGGTGGGATCCCAGGGAACAGGAGAGGGACAGCAGGGTCTGTGCCCACCGGGTGGAATGATGGGTTCGTGGGCCCAGCTCTGCCACGAGCCTGCGAACCCTTTGAGGGCACAGATGTGTCCACAGGCTGACTCCTCCAGTCCTGCAGTCATGGCTTCCTGAGGTCCTGAGGAAATGCCACGGGACACGCCATCTGGGTGCTCAGCAGAATTGATCAAACAAGCGTGGTGGAAGTTTTCCCAGTAGTACCAGAACTGCAGGCTGGGGCTGATGCCCAGAGAGAAGGGGACATTCCCTTTGCAGGTCTTTGCACACATAGGGGCTCTCACATCTGTCACTGCCCTTTAGCTGCCCCGATGCTTCCTGTGTGGCCCAGTGTGCTGGCCAGAGCTGGGCAGGGAGGGTCAATGTCTTCAGCAGCCACTGCTCTCCTAGACCCCAGGAGACCCAGCTCCCTGACTGCCTTCTGTGGGTCCCCAAAGTGCCCACCCTGCCTCACCCTGGCCCTTCCCATCACCCTCATCCTCCTACACCCGGAGACTCCCTCAAGCTCAGGGGAAACAGTCAGAAAAGCAGCAGCCCTGGTGGCCGGAGCTGCCAGCAGAAAGGGTCATGGGGTGGGTTTGGGGCTTCTTCCCTCTCCAGACTTTGGGGACCCTCAGGTGTGCATCCTGGGGAGCGCTGGGGGCCTTGAAGACCCTGCTCCTGGGCAAGGTGAAGGGCACAGTCCTGAGGAGAGAGACCCCACTGACACACCCTGGAGCAGAAGGGGATTTATTAGCAGAGGCTTCGGGAGAGCCAGGCCCCGGGTTACACTGTGGGACTTTTACTAGTGTCCCGGGTTTACTAGCGTGGCCATAAATCAGGTTCTCTGCAATGCCCATCACAAGAGAGAGGAACGCATGTGCTTGCTCTACGTGGCCTCATGTGACCAGGACTGTCCCCAGCAAGGCCACCACACTGCACCCCACATCACTGCCCCTGGGCTGGGCCCCCACCTGCTGAACGGAAATGTCATCCAACTCAGACCTACACACATCACTCTGGAGTCTCTCCGGGAAATAATATTTTCTCAGCCAATTTTATCCTCCCAGGCCTGGGGACCTACAAATCTCCTGTGTGGCCTTGACCCTGTTTCTAATATATCCGTGAAGAAATACACCCAAGGTTAAAGTGAGTCTCTTGGTGCAACACTGGCAGGTGACTTTTGTTAACTTCTTTATACTTCCTGGGTTGTCTGCATTTTTTGAAAAAATTAAAACGTGTTACTTTTATAATCAGAAAAAAATGTTACTTTTAAAAACAAGAGAAATCAGAAATGATTATGGGGAAATACACATATATTCATATTATTTATAAAAATATTTTTTAAAACTGTAAAAGATCTAAATGTGTAACAAGTCACTCACATTCCCAGAATATCAATCAGTGCCTTGAACAAATGGGGAAAAGTTTAAAAAAAAAAAAAGCGGGCTGGGGATTTAGCTCAGTGGTTCCACCGCCTGCTTCGAAAGTGCAAGGTCCCAAGATCAATCCCTGGTACCAAAAAAAAAAAAAGCGAAAGCACGCCATTTTGTATGCACATACTGATTGATAGTATATAAAAAGTACACATAAGAAAAGTGCCTAGTAACTAGGCATGGTGAGGCACACCTGTAATCAGCACTCAGGAGGCTGAGACAGGAGGATCTCCACAAACTCAAGGCTAGCCTGGACTACACAGTGAGTTTAAGACCAGCCTGAACTACATCCTGAGACCCTGTCTCAAACAAACAAACAAACAAACAAAAAAGTGACTAGAAATATTATTGCTGCATTAAAGTGTGAGCTTCTGGAATATTTTCTTTTTCTCTTCTCTTTTCCAGTTCTGCTCAATGTGGTCATACCATTCTTTTGTAATTCTTAAGTGGTTGAAAAGAGAAAGCATAAGTGGGGTCTGGAGTCCTGCCCCCTTCCCCTCCCCAGTACCATACATGTGTTCTTGTCCCATATCGAACCAGGGCCCCAGGTGCTGCGCTAGGCTCCTTTCCTGAGTGACAATCAGGAGCAATCAGCTCACCAGTGAACATTGTATGGAGTTTCTGACTTTGAAGCCAAGTAATGAGACTCGGTCCCTGAGCAGGCGTTCAAGGGTTCAACGCGGCCTCCCATTCACCCCGCCAACCTAGCCCCCAGGTAGGTGATGGCAGGTGGCCCCAGTGGGCACTGGTTTATGGAGCAGGATGGAGAGGTGGGTGTCCTGCCTGCCCAGCCACAAATGTAAGGGTCCTACTCCAGCCTCTGCCTGGGAACCCTCCTGACTCGGCAGCCTAGTGAACGGCCATTCCTCCAGCTCGGCACTGGGGACAACTCCAGACAGGGTGCTGGGGACTCTGGGGATCCGAGTGGCTCTGCGTTCAGAGGTGTTTCTTTCCAATATGAGGTCCCCAATGGCTAACCAGGAGCCACCATGCTACCCCGTACCACCTTCCCCAGCTCAGCCTGCAGCTACTCCTCTGCCTGCAAGGCCCCCCAGGACCAAGGACCCATCCTTCTCTCCCATCCTGAGTGTTTAAAAGTGACTTGACCTTCTCCAGGAAAGGATCCCTCAAGCCCAGCAGAGAGGTGTGCTTTGCTAGATTTGGCTTTGGAGGGTTTGGTGGGTCTGTCCTGACCTGGTGGGGTGAGGCAGGTGACCCTCCCCCTCCTGACCCCAGTAATCAGCCTCAATGGGTCTTGCAGCTTTCAGAACTACAAGGGCACTTAGTTTTGGTTTTTAAAGAAAAACAGAAAACAAAAAAGCCTCTTGCCTTGCAGCTGTGCACCCTTGGTGGCTGCACAGACTCTGGAAGTGAGAGGCCAGGAAGATGCGCTGGTCACTGGGGTATGTTTAAGGTTTAACAGTAGAGGACAGAGCCAGGCTTTGCAGGAGGGGACCTGGGCCAGGGCAGGGGGCTTCAGATCTGTTCTCATCCCCACTGCAAATTACAAGCCTGCTTTTTAGAATTTCCTGTCGCAGAACAATGTTATTCATTCAATTCCAAAGCAAACACTGGGCTGTGATCCTCCACATTTCAGGAGAACAGACTATCCTCACTGTTCCGGGTCTTACCTGTCAGGCGCCTGATTAAATCCATATATCTTCCAGGCAGCCATCAGCAGCCTCCATGCAGCACAAAGAGGGTCGGGCCCTGGTTCCCGCATCCCCGCAAGTACAGGGGCAGCTCCTCAGTGCCAGCCCTGAGCACGCGGAATGCCCCGGTGGACGGGCAGAGCAACAGAGGGCTGTCTGTGTGCCCAGGGTAGCAGCCTGGGCCTGGCCCCTGGGCCACGGAGGCAGATCAGAAGGCTGAGGACCCACAGGGCACCAAGAGGGGGCAGGAGGGAAAGGGGGAGTTCAAACCGCCTTCAAAGTGATAGATGTTTGTTCCCGAGGGGAGCTGATGTGAGGAGAAACACAAGCCTGGGGCAGTAAATCATGCGATCAATGTCGGTGCTAAGAATATGGAAGCCCATTTCCTTTCTCCTCTGGGAAGACCACTTAATTAAGAGATCTCCGGGTACTGGGCTCTCCTCATAAATTTTAGAGAGCTGTAAAACTTAGAGTGTGTGTGTGTGTGTGTGTGTGTGTGTGTGTGTGTGTGTGCGCGCGCGCCCGCATACTCAGGGTGGGCAGAGAAGAGCATATTAGGAGCTCTGCCTAGAGTGGCACTCACACCACAACCCACCTCAGCCCTTTCTGTGCCTCAGTTTCCCCACACTGGATATGGCAGTACCAAGTCAGCCTTTCAGGCCTCAGCTTTCAGATCAGCATCAGGACCCCAGGTTGGAAAGTGCAGGGGACTATGCAGAAGGACTTTAATCCGCTTGCCTGTGTTGAGAGGGTGCCGCACCCCCAGATGACAGTAGCAGATGTCAGTAGCACAGCTACCAGCCTTCCGACCTGACCCCACGGCTGCTGCACTTTCTCTGAAGCCTGTGGCTGGAAGCTAAAGTTTCCCGCTGTCCTGGAGGAGTATTCAGTTTCCCTCGTCCAGTCTGGTCCTCGTCCAGCAGAGCTGTTTCCCACTAGCTTATCTGATGGTGGGCATCACGGAAGCAGCTCATCACCTATCGTCCTGCACAGCTGTGAAGCTTAGCACTTGGGGAACCATGACAGGGGCTGCGAAGGAGCTGGGGAGCCCACACAGGAAGCAGGAGAGGAAGAAGCAGGAAGGCAAGGCAGGACTTTGGATTCCTCCCTATTGTCCCCCGTGCTCTCGAAGCCTGGGTACCCCAGCACCCTGTGACCGGAAAGGCCATGTGTTCCACACTGCACAGGGGAGTGCTCACCACAGAAAGGTGATGCGGCCCATGCTGTGGATGTCACGTGGCCAAATGCAAGAAGCCTGGGTCTCGAGCCCACACCTTCCAGGTTCTCACCACGCTGGGTCAGGCAGGGGAGGTAGCACCTGAACAGCAACAGCATAGAAGGACTGAGTACATCTCCTTGTTCATTTTAAGTCTGTCAAGGGTGCTGCTAGACATCACGTGACAGATGGAGATTGCTCTGCCTGCTACAGCTCCGTGCCCCAGACCCAGGGTGCATCCATGATGGTGACACCAGGTGTCGGGGCTGGGTTGGACCCGACTGCTTCACAGTTCTGGCCCTAGGTTGTGTTTGGTGGCTGTCAGGCCCAGGAGTCAGGTTTTACCACACGCTAGTGCTGTCCTTCTAGAAAAGGGCATAGCCTTCTAGGGAAACAACTGCGGGCTGGGCCCCCACCTGCAGGAAACACAAAGGATCCCAAGAATGGAGACCAGAACACAGAAAGGATTCTGAGTGTCCCAAATACTTCAGGCCCCAGGCACACACTGCTTAGGCCCAGGTTTCATCAGTTGAGATGTTTTTTTCTCTTACCTGTTTTTTCTATATTAAATATAATAAATGTGCATTGTTTGTGTAATGCATAAAATGTTTTTACAAGAAGATTCACAGGGCACATAAGACCCCTATTTATTTTCTGTGCCAAAGTGACTCTGGGCCATTATAAGACACATGACACAAAAATTCCTTTTACAAGACAAATCCCCCTGAAGATCACTGTGCTAAGGTTCAGTGAACAATGAAATGCCTCATGTGTGTGTCAGGTACCGTGATAAGTGCTAGTGACACAGACAGAAGCAAATCACTTCCCTTGACCCCCACCCACACAGCTGCAGGCAAAGCTGTCGTGTTCTTTGCACCTTCTGCCTCCAGACTGCTGGTGACCAGACACCTGCTGTGCTGTGACTTTGGGGAGCCCTTTCTCCTCTCTGGACCTCAGCTTCCCATATCCCTCCAAGGCTGGGGGACCCTATCGAATCCTCGCAGGTCCTTGGGCTATGTGGGCCTATGACCTAGCCTCTCTTCCCCACCCCCTGCCCCTGTTGCATGCCTGAGGTCACCCAAACATCCCCCCAGTTCTCTGCGCCAGTGCATGGCCAGCTGTCAGGGCTGGCGTGGCCTCAGGCTGGGCCCAGGAAGTGAGGGTGGCCTGTAGCCCCTCCCTCCTCACCTGCCCCAACCCACCATGCGGGCCAGAGTGGGGGAGGGAGGCAAACCCTAGGTGAAGCGCAACATAGAAAAGATCCGCAACACTCCCACCTCAAAGGAAGTACGATCAGAGGACAAGGAGGAGGGTAGCCCAGACCCAACATGGGGTCTTCACTGGATTGAGAAGCAGGCTGTGAAGTTTGCACTGAACACCAGCCCCTGGTTGCTATATCTAAACGAGAGAGGGTAGATGTCTGCCCTGAGCTACTGTTTTGTCTCCTAATCTGCAGCCAAGTGCCCCTTCGAGTTTAGGGCCTTGCTCAAGTTCAATGTGGCCACCTATGCAGGTGCCAGCCCTGCAGGGGAGGGAGGCTGACGCTGTCACGCAGCTTCCCCAGGGCATGGTATGGCTGCCTCACTGGCCTCCAGATGGTGACCGCCACCCCGAGCCCCTGATGGTCAGCTCAGGGCTCTACACCTCTTGCTCTGCAGGCTTCAGAGGCCCCCTGAAAACCTTTGGGGCAGCCAGCGCCACACCTCCTTCCGATCCCAAGGGAAACCACCAAGCCACATCAAAACACTTGCAAGGGATATTTAAGTTTCCGGTGGCCCAGCTGTTCTCTGGAGACCAGGCGCCTGGTTGACGTTCCGCAGCTCAGTATACCACAGACAGCCCAGGATGTGCCTGTGGTCTCCATGTACTTACGTGCACTGTTTCCTTTCACACTCTGATGTGACCCAGCCAGGAAGGTAAATAAATGTGACCCTGCACAGGGGCCAGAGTGGTCTTCCTGGAAGCAGGAGTTTAGCCCCCACTGCACCAAATTCAGGGTCACAGACCTGCTCTAGGCCAATGTGTGAGCCCATGTTGGGGTCTTCTGCCCCCTGCCCACATCTAATCTGCAGCTCCCTGATCTTTGTCCACACGAAAAAAGGCCCTTCCTACCCTCAGAGAACGGAAGAGCTCAGAGGCCTAGTTGGCACAGGATGTCCTTTCTCAGAGGCCCCCTTGACTCAGTCACTTTGTGTAGGAAGGTGGACACAAGGTTGTCATGACTTCTGGCTATTTGTGAGAAACTGAAAATCTGGATTTTTGAGAAGCAAAATATCCAGATTTTTAAAAACAGTGTGTCCATTTGAAGCATTTGATGGACATGAATAACCCAGTAATTTAAGTCACTCAAGAAATCCTACAAAATAGATACTGTGATTGTCCTGGTTTTAAATTGAGGAAACTGAGGCATGGAGAGGTTAAAGGGCGAGTCTAAAGTGACATAAGTAGAAACAAATAGGGGAAGAGTGAAGCACAGGAAGGGTTAAAGGAGGAACTATCGTCCCTTGTGTTGAATAAAAGGAGACAGAGCCAATTTTTCTACCATAACAGTAAATTGGCCCAAATTAAGCCAATACCCAGTTCTTATTGCTTCTGCAAAGAATTAATAAACCATGACATCTTCTGAAAGGGGGGAAGGCCAGCCGCTTAAAGAGATGTCAGAAAGCTTTTTACAGGGTTGGAGATGTTCCATCTTAGCAAGAAAAATGATTATGCCACAAACACGCAGGGAAGAAATCTGCCCGCCACCAGGAGACAGGCCCCGCAGTAGCCGTATTAATGGCTGCGGCCTCCCAGAGAACACTCCGGAATATTTTCAGTTTATATTTTGCAGATGGTGTGCCAAGTCATTCCCTCATTCTGCCTATTAGATGGTTAGTTTCCTTTTTCTAGTTAAAGGATTAACTAGAATTATCGGTAATCACGAGTTTCCCCCACAGGACAGGTTGAAGGAAATTAATGGAAACTGCAGAACTGGGGACCTGGGGTAGTGCCACAAAAGGAATTCCTGACTGGGAGACTCGTCCCTGGTGTGGGCTGCCAGTGGGTGGGATTAGAGAGCCCCCTCGGAATCCAGGCAGAGCTGAGATGTCTACTGGCCCTGGCTTGGCAAAGGCGGAAGGGAAGCTGGTTAAATATTTTACTGTGAGCGTTTTAAAAATGGTTCAGGCTGACCTTGCAATTCCAGATGAGGACACTGTGAGCCCCAGCTGGGCAGTGACTAGGTAAGAGCTGTACCGATAAGTATCAGTGACTTTGAGACTCAGGGCCCAGCCATGGCTTCCCGACTTTGATCTGGTCTTGCTTCTAGAGATGAGACCCCAGAGTGTCGATCTAGACCAGTGGTGGCAAACCTACGGCACGCGTGCGGCCGAGGGCTGTTTGTATTATTGAAAGCTCTAAAAGGTTCGCCATCACTGGTCTAGACCATGGAACACTGGCTGTGAATGACAATACATTGTCTTTTTAAGAGTCTATCCCCAGTCAACAATGGGGGTGAATGCCTCAAGGATGGAGACCATGACTTCCTTATCTTTGTCCCTGTGCCCTCTACATGGCCTGACACAAGGAGGTAGGGTAAAGACTCCACTTTGAATATCTGAGGCTTAGCTGCCTTGTACACAGTCCTTTCAAAGGGCCGATACCGGGCCCCAGTGTACCGGGAGGACATTGTAGAGCACTCAGAGCAGGGATGAAACCTGAGCTCTGGGAGTGACATCAACTATGGCGAGGAGTGTTTATGAACTCCAGCCCACGGGCCGATGGAGCATGCTTTACACTATTCATTATGTCCAAAAGCATTCATCATCCTCTCCTGCTAGCTTCAACAAGTCCATAACAAATAGTCAAAGATTAATAACAACCTAAAGTTAATTCCTAAGAAAGCACACAGCCGGGACACTTGGGTCCAGAACACACACCCCATTCATCATGCATCATCATTCACAGCTGTATCATTCAGTAGGCAGCTAGGGCTGTGGATAGAATGTTCTGAAATCTTTGGGGACACAAAGGCAAAGAAGGCTCAGCCCCTGCCCTCAAAGAACTTGAGAGAAATGAGACTCTGGTCAACATTGCCACCAAACAAGGCAGGAGGGACCTCAGGAGAGCTGGTTGGGTTGGACAAAGACTTGGGTTTCATGCAGATTCCACCCCAAGCAGCTCGGCCAACACCCCTGGCACACACCCATGGTCACACCACAGTCACCTGTTATTCCCTGAGGAGACCCTGGGGGCCCTCACCCCATCCCTCTTCATGTCCTGCTATGGAATAGTATTTGCACACATAACCTCTAAGGTTTAAGTGAAAACAAGAGCCACAAAATGCTCCCCAGAAGACACCCTGGAGCCTGTGTGTCGAGAGGGAGCACAGGACTTGTTGCTGTCAGGGGAGTGGGCCGATAATGTGGTGGCAGGTGGCATCCCACGTCCAGGGCCATGGTTGACAGGCACATCTGTAAGGTACAGCATGAGAACATAGAAAAGAACTGGATTCAAATCCAGAGTCCACCACTTCCTAGTAGTATTCAGCAAGTTGCTTGGCCTGGGCTTCCCTAATTGCACAATGGGGTTACAGAGCATATTCGCTCCCCAAGGCTCGTGGAATCACTTAATAAAATCACGTGGACAGAGCCCCTGGCACAGCCAGAGCGGGTGCTCTGTGGATCCGTCCTTCCCCACCCCCTCTTGCCCCTTTGTAGGATGGGTATTTGAGTTCCGCATACCCAGGAGAGTGTGGGCACCTTCCCGGGTTTTCTGGCTTTGAGTAGACATTCCAACCATCCTGTGTAGGTTTGCACTTTGAATCCTGTGTGATGGCCACTTTCTCTCTGCCCCTCAGATGGGTAATGCTGAACTCTGTCTCCCAGAATTCTCTGTGGGACTGAGCCCACAGGTGCTACCTGGTAGCTCCTGGGGTGACATGCCTGTCACTGGCTCCCATCCTTTCCCCATCTCCCTCCCCCACTCCCCAGCCGGTGTTTCCTGGGCCATCTGTCAAATAGACCCTGTGCAGCCATGAGCCTAGCTGAGGGTTTGCCTGAGACTGTGCCCCTGAGGGGCAGAGAGGCTGGGCCATTTACCCTCAAATTATGGAGGCTGCTCCTGAGCAGAGTGTTGGGAGCAATGCTACATAATTCTAGGGAAAAATCATTTGAGGAGGCCTAGTTCTCCTGCCTACAGGCCGGCAATAACGCTCCAAGACATACTTCCATTTTGGCCTCAGGTCACAAGGGAGATCTCAATGATCCCATGATGCTGTAAAGCTCCAGGACAAGACCACACCTGTGGGAGACGCCCTGGGAGGAACCAAATCTTCATCTGTGTAGTTCCTGGGAGGAACTAAATCTTCATCTGCATAGTTCCTCATTGTTCTTAGATTTCCACCGCCCCCACCCAGTCTTTTGTTACACCTTGTTCATCCCAATATGATACTGAAATCTACATTATTCATTTGTTACATTTGTTTCTTTGGATGGACTAAATAAAAGGTGCTGCAAGCTAGGGCTTCTTGTCTTTGCTGCCCAGAGCAGCACTGATCAGACCCAAAGCTCAGCTTCTTAGTCTCATTTGTCTACCTTTCCTGTAATTCGCCGTGTGCTGCCGTGGCTCGCAGGAGACCAGGACTCACTGCAGAGGTTCTGGTAACGTCCCCTTCCCCTGTTCCCTACAGCAGAGGACTCCTGGGAGTCTTTGATCTGCTCTGCAAACAAGCAAGAAAAAACCTCACACTCTTAGCCACATGTGCTTTTAGCAGGAAGTGGTAGCATCCTCTCAGCATGTACTGATGTGAGGACCAAAAGGTCCAAATGGGCACCAACAGCACCTGCTATATATATTCCCCTCACACAGAATTCCTTCTTAATTTTATTTTTTTTCCAGTTCTAGGGATTGAATTGGGGTTTCACTCATGCTAAGCAAGCATTCCACCAATAAGCTATACTCCAAGACCCAGAGTCTCTTCTTCTCAAAACTATTTTACCTTGAGTTTTTGGTAGCTTTTGGGCTCTCTTTGTATGAAATTCCTATCTGTGTTTCTTCACAGTCTTCTGAAATCTCTCAGCTCCCATGAGTATGTAGAATGACCTCCTGGTGGCCATTACATGGAGGTGAGCCTAATATGGATTGCAATAGTAAAAGCCATTAGAACAGCATCTTTTCTCATATTTCTCTCTTACTATGACTTGGGGCCGGTGACTTGGCCCTCTCTGGCCTCCGGCAATGTCAGGAGGGTTGCTATGGTGGCCACCAAGTGCCCCACTGAGATTTTTATGTCAGCCACCACCCCAAACACTTGCTGCCACAAGGAGCACATGGCATGCATTCCCCAAGACTGGGGGACTAAACAGCACACTGCTCCATGTCCCAGGCCCTTTCCACTCCTCCGTCTGGTAGAACAAAGAGAGCTGCCCTCCAATCAGGGATACAGTGAAGCCCGCAAGACTGCCAGGCAAGATGGCGACCAGCAGAAGTTGAGCCGAAGCACACCGAGTTCTAGAACAGGAAGCTCAGGGAAAATGGCAGCCAGATCTGTATGGGGAGAACCCCAGACATCACAAAATCCATCCTGCTGCCTTTTGGCAAGACTATGGTTAACACAGGCTATTTTTAAAGATCTACAAAGAACTAGACAACCTGTGGCCCTCCCACTGTAAACTACCAACCCAAAAAGTCAGAGAGAGCAAGTGAATATGGAAAGAAGCAATTGCCTGTAGTTGTAAGCCAAAATATCCTCGTCTCAGCTAAAAGATCCAGGACATGGGTTTCACCCAGGGCCCTAGGAACCATCGACCTTTCCTCTACAGGCCCAGGGGCTGCCCAGAGCCCCAACCCCTCCTCTCCCTCCTCTGGCTCCAGGCTCATTGGAGATGGTGAACAGCTGTTTGCTATTCTGAGTGGAGGAGCCTTTCATATACTCGACAACATGTTAAATCATCCCTTAATGATGGCTGAGAAGACTCGTTACAGCCACCACATGGATAAAAAGGCTGGGCCAAAGGCACTGGTGTTAAATTCATCTGCAGACGTGCAGGTATGGGGTAGAACTTGAACAAGTAGAATAGTCCTGTTTTAAACACTTTAGCTTCAGGCAAACAGACTGTGTAAAATCCTAAATCTCTTTAAAAGACTAAAATATTACCAGTAGCCTAGTTTGGGGTGATGGGAAGATGAGTGGATTTTATTTCTATGGATTTCCTAATTATCTACCAGGAACATGATTAGTTTTTATATCCAGGAAAAAACAAGGGATGTTATGCTTTCAAACATATGTGGGTTTTATAAGCAGGTTATGACTTTATCCCCTCTGAGACTTTAATGCAATACTGCTTGTGGGATGGTGGTGAGACAGAAATAGGAAAAATACGTGGCTAAAGGAGAAAAGTTGAGAAGGAGGCTACAGAGATTTCCCTAGCAAGCAGCTAGTGCATAACAGCCACGGCACACGTTGGGGAAATGGCCCATATGTCTTAAACTCAGACTTTCCATTTCGTTCAAGAAACAGTAGTTGGCAGGTAGACCAGAGCTTTCAAAGGAGCGGCAAGTTAGAGCTCTGTTTATTCTCAATGCTGAGTTTAAAAAGGTCTTTGGCCTTGGAGTATGCATGGCTGAGGTTTTAAGGGGATGCACACACGTGCTTGGGACAAAAGAATTCCCCAAACATAGATGCATTCACCAGGAAATAGTATTCACCTAGGGACATCACAATAACAGCGTTTCATGAAAAAAGCGAGCCATAGAGTACTTTTTCTTAGTACAGGTTTGCTCCACGTGCATTTTACAATCGTTGTGGGAAGTTGGCACATGTATGTAATACAGCTTGTTTCCTTTTAAACCCCCTTCCCTCCCCTTCTAATCCCCCACTCCCTTTTCATTCTTGATATTATTCTTAGTTCATTTTTATGTCATTGTTACTGGGTGTCGTAATGACCAGCAGTACTTTCCAGTCTGTTACTGTCCCATACAAAGATTTGGTTTAACTTTTATCTTATGGCAAAAAAAAAAGTGCTCAAGGAGACAAGGTGCCCTGAAGGAGAGAGAGAAGCTTCGCCCTGCACACAGGATGAGCCAGTGCAAAACTAAGAAAGCAGCAGAGTCCATCTCTGCCATCTTTTATATCATCTCCCTGACATTAGCTCCAAGCCGTTGCATCAAAACCCACCTGATCGCGTGCCGGAAGATTGGTATCAGGTGCAGGGCGCAGCCAGCTCTCGTGTCAGAGGATTGGTATCAGGTGGTGGGCTCAGGGCTGCTGCTCTGCACCCGTGGTTACCATGGCTCTGCAATTGACAGGTGGCGCCCAACTGCCCCAGCCACAGTGCCAGGCCCTGGTTTCCTGCCTCACTGTGAAAACTTTGTAGAGATGCAGGCTCAAAAAAATCAAAATAGTTACTGTTTTGAGCGAGTTGAATTATAGATAAGCTTCTTCAGAAAAATCTCAATGCAACTGTTGGCTTTCTAGAATTTTTTTATCTGGTATTTTGTTATGAAAATGGTGAAACATATAGCGAATTTCACGGTAACCACTAAGTTACCTCCACAGCTTCAGTTTGTAAACTCTTTCCAGCTTCTACGATAGCACAGTTGACAATCAACATATGTAGATTATAAAATCTAATTATCAACAAACAACTTGGAAGTCTGAGCTTCACTTTTTTTTGGCAGTGTTGGGGATCAAACCTGTGGCTGCAACACACACCAGGCAAGCACCCTACCACTGAGCTACCCCGGCAGCCCTCATTCTATGAATAATATATCTCAATGTTTCCCCACAGTCCTATCAAGGGGCATTGGAGCCTCCTTTTTTCCTGTGTGGAACAAAACTGTCAGATACAATCTCCAAGTGTAGACATCCAAGAGCTTTTCTAGGACCTAGGTTGGTCAGGATCCTACAGCTAAATTCTTAATGAGAAGGAAAAGAAAAGGAATCGGCAAAAGGTGAAGAGTGTTCGCATTTTTCTTCTATGCAAGGGAAGCCTGGGGCATAGGATTACTCACACACACACACAACAAAAAAGGCAGATAAAAGAGGGACAGAGCCTGGGTACAGAAAGATCAAAAGTCTACGTTCTTCCTCCACAAGGCACAGTTTAAAAAGAAGACAGAGTAAGAGTAAACAAATGTCTTTGCATAAAACTGCAAGCTAAGAAAGAAAGAAAGAGAGAGAGAGAAAGAAGGAGAGAGAAAGAAGAAGGCCAGGGTGTTAGCTCAAGGGTTCTGCCACTTGCCTTGAGCCAGGCGGCGTAACCACTGAGCTAAATCCCTGGCACTTGCCACTTGCCTCGAAAGCACAAGGTCCCAAGTTCGATCCCCGGTACCAAAAAAAAAGAAAGAGCGGGAGGGAGGGAGAGAGAGAAAGAAGAAAGAAAGAAAGAAAGAAAGAAAGAGGGAAGGACAGCCCAAAGCTAATTCTTTCACATAATTTGGAGATTCTAAGGCGATGTTTTCCAGTATCAAGAAGTCAGCATTACAAAAGACAACTTGAATTCTCAGAACATTTCCCTGCACTTTCCATTTCACTTGCTTCCATCTTGAAAACAAATAAATGCCATGCTGTGATCTTTTCCCTTTTTTGCTGGAGGGAGGCTTGTCTTGGAGTTGAAGTAATAATGACAAGGTATTTCAACTCCTCTGGATTGGTAATCAGCAGCATATGATCCTGGAAGGAGGAATAAGGCTATCAATGACAGATTGTGACGTTGGCTAACTAAGGAATCATGTTAATCACATCATTTATCCTACTAGGCTCCTGGTAGGCTCCTTTGCATTAGCTCTGCTGCAGCCTTGATGAAATCTGTTTTATTTTGAGCATCTTGGAGTAATAGAGGGAATCTGGTTACCCACATCTTGGCAGGTCAGGAAAGAAATCGAGAGATGGACCTGAACAACTTTGGAGTAGATGGCTCATGGACAAACTGGGTGGCACAGTGGGAGATGCCTGGGAGTCTGCTGCACTTATTTTAACAGATAAGACAGAGGAGTGGGGTGGATTTTAGTACTCTCCTTAATGGATCAGGACCCACAGCTGGCCTCTGGCTACAGGCAGAGGAAGAGCTTCCAGGGACTGGGCTCCTTGCCTTGACAATGTAAGGAGACCAGCCGTCCTTGGAGTGGTGGGATCTGGAGCTTGGAATTTGATGATGGAAGAATGCGGCTTTATCAAGCTGAAACACAAGGAGATATACTGTTTGTTTTGGCTGGCACGAAGTGGGACCTTCTAAGTACTATTCTCCATAGCCAAGGACTGGCCTGCCTGTCTCATTCCTCGGGACAGGCCAGTAGGGTGGATGGAGTGGTCACTCAGGCTTCTTGGTAGCAAGAGACAGAAGCTAATTCTGGGTAGTTTCAAGAGAAAAGCAATTTGCCAGGGGAGTAATGGACATCTCCGAGAATAATGGGGAATGTTCAGAAATGCACTGGAGCTGGAGGAAGCCGGATCTGATTGCAGATCATAAGCAGTTAATGGCATCATGGAGCATGGCATATGACCGGTGTTGCTGGTAACAAAAATGCTCCACCATCCCTGTTTTCCATAGCATGTCCCAGATTCACAGTTTTGGGTGAAGAGTGGGCTCTGGTGAAGCCAGGTTATTTGCCAGTGCCCTGGGCTAGCAGGGGTCAGGCAGCCCAGCAGAGCAAACAAAGGCTTTCTTACTCTGAAGCAGCCCTGCTTACCACCAAGACCACTGGGAGAAGCTGCGGGAGGGACTGGCAGATGCCAGGCACAGGTGAGAGCCTTTGAGAGCAGGCGTTATCATTACCCCTACTGACAGATGACATGCTCTGGCATTTCCTGTCGCTGAGGCATCATGACTGTTGGGACTTCTCAAAATTTCTGTCTGCATTAGGCCAGCTCTAACGAGGAGGAACTCAGACGCCCCCAAATTAGAATGAAGCCGTGAGTCAACTGTAATCACTAACATTTTACGGTGCTTTTGGAAGTGGATTAATCCCCTTGTTTCACTTGACCAGAAAAAAAAAATCCTAGCATCGACTGCAAATGGTGGAGAAGACAGATATTCTTGTCCTGCTTGGCATATCAAAACCAAAGCCAAGTGACTGCAGTGACTTATTTGTGAGTAGAGACAAATGCCTGGTTACATTGGCCACAGTTTCTTGCTAATTACTTGGCATGATGACGCAATGAACGTGTTAGCCCCGCTTCTCAAACTTTAATGTGCATACTCATCGACTGGAAATCTTTTTTATAGTGAAAATTCTGACACAGCAAGACCAGAGTGAGGTTCAAATCTGCAAGTTTTTGTTTTGTTTTGTTTTGTTTCGCGGTACCAAGGATCGAACTCAGGACTTTGTGCTTGCGAGGCAGACACAGTGCCACTGAGCTAATTCTCCAGCCCCTAAAATCTGCATTTCTAATCAGCTCTTGGGGTGTCGATGCTGCAGACCTGGGGACCACACTTTGATGGTAAGAATTTAGAGGATGAGTCCTGAGGACTTTGAGCAAACAAATCTCAATCTGTATCACATGCCTGCAGTATTTAATAACCTGATGAAGAATTACAATATAGGTGAATATATCTTTCCGTGTTTTGATCTTTCTTGGGCTTTAAGGAGGTGATTTGAGGGAGAAAAGGTGCTGCGCACACGAAGTGAGTCCTGTTGACTATTCTGCACACACGGTGGGGGACAGGATAGATAGCTCAGAGAGGTGGCCGGATTTTGAAATGCCCCCCTATGCTCAGAAATCTGCCCATCATTAAAACAGGAATTTCGCCCAGGGATTTAGCTCAGTGGTTCCACCGCCTGCCTCGCAAGTGCAAGGTGCCAAGTTCGATCCCCCATACCAAATAAATAAATAAATAAATAAATAAATAAAACAGGAATTTCACAGATAATATATCTCAGCATGCAGCCCAAGGAATTCGCAAGCAGTTCTCTCATTTCAAAAGTAGCTGTCCTGAATGCTGTATAAACACCCGCTATCCCGGCATGGAGAAATACACAAGGAAGAGGGAGAAAATCAACAAAAACCTCTCAGGGAGGAATGGAAGGCACACAACTCCAAGGGCCACAGCGAGAGAAGTCAGCAAGGCCATGGGCCCAGCTGGAGGTGCAGTGTCCCGGCCTGGCAGGAAGCAGCCCTCAGAGAGCAGGCAGAGTGGAAAAGGTAAATGAACAGACTGGGACAGTCAGGGAGAGGATTAAAACAACTGAAAACCCCTAAGAAAACAAAGCAGTGGGGTTAATAAAACAACTGTCTGTCTCCTTGGAAAAGTAAGCAAAGGGAAGAAGCAAAGGAGAACCAGATGCAGGGTCTGCCAGGCCCCAGCCGCTGTGGCAGAGTCGGGAGGAGAGGGAGGCAGGCGGCCGTGCAGGGCACAAGCTGCAGTTTGGATTAGCAGAGAGGACCAGGCACAGGCCAGCCCTCCACAGACACGGTTGGGGACGATTATTAGAAAGCTCTTTTTGTGGTTTGTTTTGTTGCTGAGTTCCAAGCTGAAGCTGTCTGTATACTTGTCTGTTTTGGAGCCTGAGAAAATAGCATCAATTTCACCAAAATCCTTGAGCTTTTTAGAAAGAAAGAGAGAAAGAACCTTCCTAAGCTTCGATCTTTTTTTTTTTTAAGTATGAGTTTCTTTTGGTATTACTCAGCATTGGTTTGTTTTTCTCCTCTTTCTCTGTCCAGAATGCCTTGTGCTTACACATCAAAGTAAGAAAACATGGGTGGAAATTTTTAAGTCCTTAAATGGTGGCCTTGGAGGGACAGGGGCGAGCTGGCCTCACCATCTAGTCAGATGTTGGTCTCTGCAACGTTACCTGGTGCCCCACACGCCCCTGCCTCCGGGAGCTCCTTCCCTCTGTCCCCATGTCCTTCCTTTCCTGGGAGTGTGAAAAGGCCCGCTCTCCTCTTGGTGGCCCACCTCTGCCCTCCCGATTCTCACCCACGCGCCATGGGCACCGCTCTCTTGTATCCCGTACTTCTCATTCCCTGTTTAGAAAATGGTCACCAGCCACTGAGAAGATGTTTAATGGCTCCCAGGCTCTGTAGCTGTGGGTCACACTGATGGATGTGATTGGCCATCAAACGTCAGGTCTTATCTGAAGGG